GGCTCTGCGGCTTCGCGTTTTGTTCTTTTCTCTTTTCATACTTTACAATTTTCGGTCCCTGTTCGGCCTTATCCGGCTTCATCCGTGACCCACTGGTTGTTGAGTTATGGCCATCCGAATTATTGTGCGAAAAAACCCACAAAAGCCCTGCGCGCCAACTTTTTTGAAAACAGCAATAATTTGATGGCGCCTGAGACGAAACTGTGACCTTCATTTTGCCAAAATTCAATCAATCTTAGTAGCGGGCTGTGCCGCTTGTCGGCCTTACCGGTTTATTGGGATCGCACGTGGAGGTGGATAAGAGGTGGAAAGCAAAAGTGATTCTGAGACCCCCGTCGGCAGACTGTGCCTGACATCGGCCGACTCATACCGAGGGCGATCAGCACCGCTTGAGACCGCTTGCCGAGCTGATGTCGGCAAAATTGGCCTCGGTGCTGATCCCGGGTCAGATGTCAGCACAGCCTACCGACGGGGCCTCGGAACGCAGTGATCGGATGTGGTGTACAGCGCACCGCTCTTGTAACATGTTAACACTGTTGGCAATTGGATGGAGCAAGCCGGGGTTCGACTCCCCGTGCCCGAATGTACGGGACCCCTAATACTGTTTTTTTGCTTGCCTCTGCGCCATCTCCTCACTCTGAGTCTAGCGGCCCTCTGAAGTTCGTTTTCTGATCGTCAAATCGGAATTATTGTATATTCATGGATTGACATTGGCACGCCGCGGTAGCAGCACCAAATTTACGCACGCACTGACATCTACCTAGGTTCAAAGAACAGTGAATACATCGGATCTGGCGCACGGTGCACCGCTCCTTTCAGTAACAAATTTCTAATGTCCTGTGCAGAAATCCGGTGCCCGAATCTGCTGGGAAACTCCTTTTTTTTTTTTTTGCATTGCACCACCTCTTCAGTTTTCAACGGCCGTTTGATACTTCACCTTTTACGCACACTTATTTTTATTTTATTTCATCTGACCCACGGATTGAATCCCGCTCTGGCTGGATGGGTCAGCCACCTGGTTGGCATCTTCAGAACTTCGAAGATTAACAGGTATTCACCTTCAGGATCAGCGTGCGCATAAAACTGCTCTATAATTCAGGGACCCAGGTGAAGTTCCCGTACATCTATTGTAGATTTAGCCGTGGCTTCTAAGCAAGGAAAGGTTATATCCATATACGTACCTTACGATTATTCCGCGGTGGGTGCAATTTGTACAAGTATGATTAACGAAAGGTCGTACAGATTTCACATTTGGCCACTTATTTATAATACATGACGAAAACTTCAACTCTTTACCACTTGGCATAGGGCATGAATTTTCCACTGCGAGCATTTCATCAGCGCGAGGCGCTAGTCAGAGGACAGAGGACTGACTCGAAAGTAAGAAACACACGATCGCCCTTCGGATCCGCCTTTCGGGCGATGTCGATCTGCGAGAAAATAGATAAATAACAAGGGCAAGGGGAGGGGAAATAATTTCCTACTTTACAGTCAATCATGCTCATGATTCCGTCGCCGAACTGTAAATAGTTCAGATTGAATGTCTGTGCTGTAACTCCAAACGAACTTTCTCGTGGATAATGGCCTTAATTGAATGACCATAAACTAGAACACCCTGCAAAGAGTCAGTGATCAATGTTCAGTGCCTATTACTGCTGTAAGCATACCTCGTATAGCCGGTAGATAACGGGGTCGGTGGGAGGAATAGGCCCAAGCCCGCGGTTGGGCCACCAGTGATCGCCGATCCCAGCCTGCAATTCGGTCTGGGGCACACCAAGAAGGTCGGACACTTTGTTCAGCTCCTCCGCGGTAAACTTGGCCTACAACCGTGGTCATGAATCAAGGAGAATTTTGGAAAGTGATAGGAGCTCACTTGGCCATAGAACGCAGCAGCGACCCAGACCTCGCCCTTCCCGATAGCCTGGGCAATCTGATCAAAGGTCAAACCTGCAAAGGTATCGATAAGTCGCGCCGCCAGTGGCTGGAACGAAAACCGCACCTTTGCGCGCTTTGGCTTCGAAGAGCTTTGAATTGGCGGAAGGAAGGTTCGCATAGGGCACATTGTTGGTAGGGACAGTCTAGATAAATGAGGGCAGGAAAGCATCGAAGACACGCAACTCACTGCCGCAGCTTGAGACATGGGAGAGAGTGGGAGCTAAGCAGACAGGAGCTTCCGATTTAAGGCACGTGTCGGTTCCGTCGGAGCCCGAAGATGTGCCCGCTTACAATACCCTGTTCCCATTCAAGTTGTCTGAACTAGAGAAAAGGCTCTCACGTGGGAGTAGGCAAGCTTGATTACATTAATATTGCAGTTGGAACAGAACGGTCGAAATACAGGTCGCTCTTTACTACACAGGTGGCGTTTTCCATACGTCCTTGGTAGCATGCGTTAATTCGTACAACTGTCCTATTTGTTCAGCTGACATCTGTGGGACGGTGCTCCATAAGCAGCTGTGTCCTAACGCCGACGGAGCCCGACGCACACACGCCCACCTATTCATACACCGTCGCATCTAGGCGTTTCCCAGAGAAAGTCTTGGCTTCGGGGCCCTTTGGGAGGTCGGCAAGGTAGACTTTCCATTGTGACAAAAAGCCAATAATATGGACTGGATTCGTTACCGCTCTGTTTCGCCGGAACTCTAAAGTATATTAATAATTAATGACCATCGAAAAAAAGCTATTGCTGTTGCAGCACCCCCTTGGATGTGCCCATCTCCCACGACGCGCATTTCGTTCGGTAGAGCACGATGGGCACGCAATATCCGGCGATATAAACTGTCAAAGAGGGCAGAATTGAGTGACTGTAGATGGGTGGGGGGATTCGAGTAGGGTTTACTAGGAGGTAGGAGGGCAGCGCTAGCTTCTTGTAAATCCAAGGGTTTGGTAGATATGGACTCGGCCAGTCGGAACGCTGAGACGCGCATGATGTGCAGGAGGAAAGAGAAAGACGTGTTCTTTGGTTCTCTTTAGACAATCCCTGAAGATAAACAACGACAATGAATAACTGCCGTCGACTCGACACTAGCGACAATTATTTCTCCGGTCTTATGAATGCTTGCTTTGCGTCCCTCTCTCCCTTCTGGAAACGTCAAATCCTTGTGAGGGCTGGTCGACAATCATGCCTGTGCAGTGGATCGATTTGGAAGGATCGTTGTTCGCGAATCGCTGGGGTCTTTGAGGAGAGTTCGACAGGATTCGACTTTGCTACAAAGGGTCCGTTAAGTACTTGGCCTTGAGAGGTTTGACCAAGAGAGCCATCTCCTCACTCTGATTCTGACTTACGTTCCCTCTGAGCGTGAGACTTTACATTATAATTATAATTCTTTTATACTGCGTCAGATTGCCGCCCTCGATTAAATTCATGCACCACGTACCCCAAGTTCAAACGAAATTTAAGGAATATATTAGGTATATTGCGCAGTTCAAGGTCGAATGCTTGGAAGCAGAACTCCCCGGACTTTCTGTAATATGCATCTCGATGTATACTATCAGCGGCATTGGAGATTATGGACTAAAGTTGCCAAGAAGGCCGAGGCTCAGGACTCTTCGAGTTCATGGTCCCTATTCTGCGATAGCTTTTAGTACTCCCGCACTTCGCTAGGTTTAAAGAATTCCAAATAGTTCGGGTATGGTGTACGGTGCACCGCTCTTCTCTCATTGCGAGCTCATTAGATTGATTGAGAATGCCGGCGTTCGACTCCCCGTACCCGAATTAGGATGAGGTCCCCTCCTTTTCCTTTTTTGCTTGGCTCCGCGAACCTCTTCATTTCTAGAATCCTTCGGAAACTTGTTCTCTCCACCTATGGTATGGGCACGTCACGTTATAATTATTCTTATTTTATCCGGCCCATTGCCATGGATTGAAGCTCTCGTTGCCCGCGAGACGAGCAGAAATTACTCACGTACCCACCTAGGTTCAAACGAATAGGAATATCCCGGGTCTAGTGTACGGCGCACCGTTCCTCACACCCAGTGAGAAGTCCGTAAAAATAGAATGAGCCAGATTGTGGCCAAATGGAGCAAAATGAAGAAAGAAAAAATGATTCGTACCCACCAAGGCCCACACAAATAGGAATATCCCGGGTATAGTGTACGGCGCACCGCTCCTCACAGGCCTCACATTGCATTGAAAGCTGGACAATGTCGCAGCAGCAAGCCAGGGCTCGACTCCCCGTGCCCGAATGCGCAAGTGATGACAGCTTTTTTTCTTGCTCCTGGCCCTTTGTATTCCGAAACTTCGTTCCCTCCATGCATGTGGATGTCACGTTGGACATATTTTTATTCCATTTTATCCGGCGCCAGATTGACGCCCTCGATACCAGTAAGTATTGAATTCACACACCTACTTACTCAGGTGTGAATGCATTGGGTGGTAAACAGGACTAAATTTATGCACGCACTTACCAGGTTCCAGGGATACTGAGTACATCGGGTATGGTGTACGGCGCACCGCTCCTTCTTGTGCTGCCATTTGAACATCGCACCATGCACTGGAATAAGCCGGGGTTCGACTCCCCGTGCCCGAATTCGCCAAAAGTCATTCCACCTTTTTTTTCTTGCTCCCGGCCCTTGCATTCCAGAACTTCGTTCCCTTCACGCATGGGACGTCACTTCGTAATTATTTGTATTTCATTTTATCCAGCGCCATATTGACGCCCACGATACCAGTAAGCATCGAATTACGCACGTACCTACCCAGGTTCAAATGAACAAGAATACATCGGGTATGGTGTACGGCGCACCTCTCCTTCATGTAAAGGTCTCCTCGTATCGCTGGAGAAAGCCGGGGTTCGACTCCCTGTGCCCGAATGGTTCGAGGTGATTTTCTTTTTTTCTTGCTCCCGGCCCCTTGCATTCCAGAATTTCGTTCCCTCCACGCATGGGATGCCACGTTGGGCATTTTGTTATTCCATTTTATCCGGCGCCAGATTGACGCCCCGCTACCAGTAAGTCTTGAATTTACTCACGTACCTAACCAGGCTCAAATGAACAAGAATACATCGGGTATGGTGTACGGCGCACCTCTCCTTCATGTAATGGAACTCTCCTCATACCGCTGGGGAAAGCCGGGGTTCGACTCCCCGTGCCCGAATCCACCAATGCTGGGTTCCCTTTTTTTTATTGCTCCCGCTTTGCATTCCGAAACTTGCGTTCCCTCCACGCATGGGATGTCACGTTGGATATATTTTTATTCCATTTTATCCGGCGTCCGATTGACGCCTAGGTATTGAATTTACGCACGTACCTAACCAGGTTCACATGAACAAGAGTTCATCAGGCATAGTGCACGGTGCATCTCTCCTTCATGTAGACTACCTCCTCTCTCAGGTGGGTGGAGAAAGCCGGGGTTCGACTCCCCGTACCTGAAATTGCTGAAACATAGTCTGTTTTTCTTTTTCTTTTTCTTTGTTCCCACTACTTTTTTCATCTCTCTAACGACCCCGATTCCAGAATTTCGTTGTCTCTACGCGGGGGCGGGTACGTCACGTTGTAGATATTTTTTATTTTGTTTTGTGCTATCCGGCCCGCGTATTGACGCTCCAGTTGCCCGCGGCGATACCAGCGGACAATGACTCACACACTTACCCAGGTCCCAAGGACACTGAGTACATCGGGTATGGTGCGCGGCGCACAGCTCCTGTACCTGACCGATTCGACCCTTGTCGTGGAGCAAGCCGGGGTTCGACTCCCCGTGCCCGAATTCGATTTCAATTATGTGCTTTTATTTTATTTTATTTTATTTTGCTCCGCTGCGCCTCCTCGCCTCTCTCTCAGCGTGACGAGCCATGTTCCGCACGGGATCCAGTATGGTTTATAATCTTATTGAACGCACGGCCCTAGTGAGCGGACTGGCGTTGTAGGTTGGCGCGTGTCTATTAACGTTGTCTCATTTCATTCGCGACTGCGGCTTGGGGCTCGCTCCTTTTAGACTCGTGCCGAATCCAGATGCCGCCAGACGAGAATAGAACGAGAATATTAATAGAAGCGAGACAGGAATAGAAGCGAGATCAGGATAAGGGATGGATATCTGGATGGGTGGGTGCTGGCATGCTTCCCGGGGGTCGTGGCGCTGGACGGCCCTCCGAGGAATGGGGTCGGTGCCTCAGCAAGCAAGTTAAGTACTAGTGCGCTCGCCATTTCCGATCAGAACTCGCCCGTATCTTGGCACCTCGGCGGGTCATCAATCGATCAACCCGCCAATCAATCGATCAACCCGCCAATCAGTCAATCAAGCTACGTTGTCTCCGCTGTCTCTCTTCTTGCCTCCATTGTGTTTCGCTTCGTCTGCTTTTTGTTCTCTTTTCTTCATAACACCTTGTAGTCCCAGCGACTCTTTTCATTCTACCACTCACCACAATGCGCCCCATCTCTTCTACCCTCGTACTCCTCTCGCTCCTCGCTTTGGCTTCCGCGCAGCTGCAGATCCAATGCACGCCCACCGACGACGACGGCACACCCAACACGGGCGCACAGCCAGCGACGGGCGAGGACAGCGATAAGATCATGTGCATCTATCAGGGCGCCGGCGCGTGCACCTACTTCCCCGCCGACGGCTCCTTCTCCAGCGGCAGCTCACAGTGTCCCGCGGGCATTGCGCAAGACCCCAGCGTTACGTGCGTGCTTCTACATCCACACAACGCACGAAACTAACCCCCCACCCCAGCGAGCTCCCCATCCCCGGCAAGTCCTCCGCCGCGCCCACGCCCCCACCCGTCTCCGCCCCGCCCCCGCCCCCACCCGTATCCTCCCAGCCCCCGCCTCCGCCCGTGTCCTCCCCGCCCGTCGTCCCGCCCCCAGTCTCCACACCCCCGCCCAACCAGACCACCAGCAAGCCCAGCAACACCGCCAGTGGCTCGCCCCCGCCGCCCTCGGGCGCCGCGCCGCGTCTGGGCGCCGGCGCCGGCATGGGCGGCGTGCTGGCGCTGGTGGGGTTGTTCTTCGGGATGATGTAGGCGTGGTGGTTTTGTAGGTATGCGTTGACGGGCACAGGTTGACCGTAGGATGGGCGGTTAGCGCGCGCCGACTTCGGCACGACGCGTGCATGCCATCTCGCCCGAAACCGGCGTTCTCATCGCCCTGGCTTCGCTGCTACGAGCCTGCGCGCGCGCGATGAACCAAATATGGCGCACGCCGGGGCCGCACTCCTCGCTGTCACGATACTCGATTCCCGCTGGCTGGAATCACGCGCGCTAGGTCTTCGCTAAAATATTTTATACTCAGTCGTTTGTGTTTGTGACGGAGAATATTATTCGGTTGTCGCTCTCGTGATGGGTTCGACAGTGAACGACTCCCTGCGCCGAAGGCGAAAGATTCACCGCACCCGCAAGCGAACGCAGCAAGTACCTTTGTTTTTTTCCTCCTTTTTCTTTCGGCTCCACTCCACCGTCTTTCGTGTTTGGTTCCACTCCGCGCAGTTTCTGTCGCTCGCTACATACCCCCTCTTGCGTTCAGCGCTGGTACTTTATCATTACATTGCGTACCAACCCAAGGTCGAGCGAGTCCAGATGTTTCAGGTATGGTGTAATTATCCTCTCGATTGCAATGGCAATGGCATGCCACTCCGCGGTTCGACACCCCCGTTCCCAAGTTAAAACTGGCGCAACATCTTGTTCCCTCTTGTTTTCTTTCACTCGCACCTGTCCCGTTCTCAATCACATATCTTCATTGAAGCCACTTATTCGATCTTCCGACACACGAGCGCAGGTTTTTCATTTCCTTTCCGGTGGCAGGCAGGATCTGTCTGTCATGTTCGAGGTCGAGGATCTCGATTCACGGACGTACATACCCAGGCTCGCAATGAGAGAAATTAGGCGGGTATGGTGCACAGCGCACTGCTCCTCGCAGTTCGACATGAGCAATGTCGCAGGAGCAGACCGGGGTTCGACTCCCCGTACCCGAATAGATGAGAGTCTTGGCTTTTTATTAGCCTGTTTGCGATGCAGCCATTCGAGCCATCTGATGGCTGTTTGGCGTTGCGCAAACTGATGGCTAATGGCTCGAATGGCTAAAATAAAGTCAGTGTATATAATGCTCTTTTCTGCCAGAACGAGTCTCAATGAGTGTGTCATCACACGTGGAGGTTAAGAATGCCCCTAGACTGCATGAGACCTCCAAATTCAACAAGATTAACTATTTTGGGCCCACAATCTGGCTGTTATATATGTGAGTGGGACTAGTCACCCATACATGAGCTGAACGACTCAGATGCAACTCAACGACTCCAAAAATATGGGCAAGTATCGGAGCCATTCGAGCCATTAGCCATTAATTTGCGCAATGCGAAACAGCCATCAGATGGCTCGAATGGCTGCATCGCAAACTCTCTATTTATTTTCATCTGGCCCAAAGAGTCCGTCTGAATACTGACCATTGCTTACCTCGAGACTCAAATTTTTGGCTTACTTCATAGAACCCTCCCCACTTTTTTGAAAAGTGAGAAAGTAAATATAGCCCCTTCCCCCGCCTGGACTCGAGTTCAGTTCCGACGCAGAGCAATTTTATACTCTCAATTCCCTAAGCTCGCAACAAGAGGGATAATGCGGGTATGGTGCACCTGCTCCTTGCCGAACGTTCGTGTAAGTAGTGAGCAGACCGGGGTTCGACTCCTCGTACCCGAATGCAGCAGGATGGTTCGTTTCTCTCGTTTTTCTTGGCGTAGTGGGTTCGTTTTATGATTATTCCAAGTTAGGAAATAAGTTACTTTATTCGCCCTCTTTCCAAACGGGCTGTGCACGAACGATAACGTTTTTGTGCTCTTATGTCTGATTGACAAAGCGCAGTCTCTGAATAAACCACTATATGTCGCCTACCTAGACCTCAAAAACGCATTTCCTGGTACCGATAGGTCAACACTGTGGGTTAAACTCGCCACAATGGGCATTTCTGGACCAATGATCGAATGGTTGAAAATACTGTATGACCGAATCCGTTACAGGGTACGACTAGATAGAAAATTTTCGCCAGCCTTCAGGTCGTTGCTCGGAATCTTAACCGGAGATCCTGGCTCACCTCATCTCTGGAACTTATTCATGTCCGACTTCATCTTGGAATGCCATCCTGACGACATAGAACTCAACGGGATACCCATCACAAACTTAGAACATGCCGACGACATTCTGACAGCATCTGCCCCCCCCCCCCGGATTCCAGAGTCGTCTCAATGGTGCTCAAGGTTGGGCAGACAACAACGGTTGTGAAACCTCTATTGCCAAGTGTGTCTACCAGATATACAGGGCACGGCAGAAAACCTACCCCAAGTTTCACCTGGGCGAAAAAGTTATAGAACAGGTGCACAAGGCATGCTACCTAGGCATCTGGTTTGAAACTGGGGCAAAATTGATGTGGAGGGAACACTACAGAGTCAAGGCAAAAAAAGCGACTGTAATTGCACATGTCATCATGGGGTTAGACCGCTTCGTCGGCCACCTCCCAGCATGGGAAGCCAGAAGTCTCTACATGGCACGAGTGGATCCCTACCTTATATCCGGATGCGATGTTTGCCTGGATGTCAATCTTAAAAGTCTCAAATTGTTGGAACGTGTTCAACTCCGTTTCCTGCGACGAATGCTTGGTGTTGGCTCCCGCAGTCTGAGAGCGGTTCTCTTCTCTGAGATGGGAACATGGGCAATTAAATATCGACGGGTGTATCTTGCGCTCACAAACCTTCGGTATCTTCTGGAGTTGAACCCCAACCGACCTGCGGCGAATGCTCTACACGAATCGCTTACACTTGCGTGGGCTAGCAAAATATCGTGGATCAACGACTTACGGATTGTTCTCTCGCGCTTACATATCCCGGTGCAATTGAACATCGCATTCGGAATGAATGTTCAAACCGTTGAAGTAGCAATGAAACAGGTTATCAAGTCCATGGAGGCTTGGATAGATGATGAGATTGAGTCTTCATCTCGGGTACGAGACCTTCTCGTTGGACGCCTCGAAAAGGATCAAGACACTGGAAAACTGGTCAAGCCTCTAGACTTCCGCCACTACATCAGAATAAAGCAACCCGATCATCGAAAGGCACTTACCAGCCTCATCTTGTCCACCCATAGCCTTGCCGTAGAACGTCGCCACTGGAAAGAGCGGGGA